ACTATTTGGGAAGGTTTAAATGTTCAAGAGAAGAAGTGCTGTGAGCTTTGTCTTTCTCAGTAACTTCTCTTACCACTTTGATATATTTCCAGCCATTCCCTGGCATGATGCTGGTAAGGAATGTGCTGGGACCGTGCTTGGGGTGGCACAGAGCTTCCCTGCAGGAACACACCTCTGCCACCCCAGAGTCCTGCTGGTCACAGGGAGGCCTGATGCCCTGCTCCTCACTTTTGGCCAAAAAAAATGGCTCCCAGCCTTGGAAGGTGGAAGCTGGTCCCTGGGGATTGCCAACAAGTGTCCCTCTGCAGGAACCAGCTGCTCCACCACCAAAGCACATCCCCAGGGAGCAGAGCAGGAGCTAGAAGCAGTGACCCCAGCAGAGCAGCCACCCCAGGCAAACCTGGCCTCCTGGGTCCTGTCCTCCAGAGCCAGACACTGGGACCACAGGGAGAAGTTCAGGACAACTCCAGTTCTGTGCTCACCTCTGCGAGCAGACAGCCCAGACGTGGAGGTGATGGCACCTTCCCAAACCTGGGTACTTCAGCTCAGCACAGGAACCAAGCAGATCTTGGCAGACACATCCTGGACACTTCCTCTCCACCCTGGAATCCTCCTTTGGTTTTGGAGAGAAACCTCAAAGGTCTTCCTCACACCTAGCCTCTCGACCCAGCACTGAAGCCATCTCCAAGGCTGGACTAACCCCTTTCTCTGCCCTGGTGGTAAAAAAAATTCTGCTGCTCTGGACTGAGTTAAATGCACAGAAATTGGGGAGAGAAAAAAACGTTTCCTCTGGATTTCAGCCATTTCTTTTCTTCAAGTGCTTGCAAAAGAGTCAAGATAATAAAACCCCAATGTCCTGGAGCTGGAATTGCAGCCCAATCCATCAGGTTCTTTTGGGAACTGATGTTCTTACACAGCAAGAAAGTTTCCAGCATCACCCCCAATGGAGCAGAGCACAGACCCCCCAGAGTAGCAGGGTGACCTGAACCCAGACTCCTGAACCAAACACACTCCTGGTTCAGCAGCAAGGACTGCACAGAGTCTTAGACTGGTTTGGGCTGGAAGGGACCTTAAAGATCCTCCAATCCCACTCCCTGCATGGGCAGGGACACCTCCCACCAGCCCAGGTTGCTCCAACCCCCATCCAACCTGCCCTTCAACACTTCCAGGGACATTCACACACATTAACATCTTACAATTCAGTTCTCTTCAAAGTTTCCTCTACTCTATTGTGCAGACTGGACCAGGAATCACCCGACACCCAAAGGGTTCCTGGCAGAACAGAGAGGACTCAACAGCCAAGGGGTGTCCAGGGGGGCTTCATATTCTGTCTGGCCAAGCAGATTTGTTTGCTCTCCTTTTATGTCAGTCCACCAAGAGCCACCCTACAGCAAACCAGGAGTCTGGCTGTGTTCTGACCTGGTGCAGACACGCTCTGGCTGTCAGGTGCTCTGGCAGTAATTCATGTTTCACTACACTCATCTTCTTTCCCACTGATTTCCTACAAGAGCTGGTTCCTGTGCTAGCACAGGCCTCAGCCCCTGCTGCTCCCACCCCCTGCTGCAGTCACAGAACAAGATCCATCTGCTGGGGCAGCTCAGGCCAAGAGGTTCGTTTCACAGCTCAACCTATCATCCCAGGTCCACTTTGACCATCCAAAAAGGCTGCAGAGCTCTGGGAGCCATCAGCCACCTGACCCCTCAGGTCACACAGCATCCCTGGAGCACCAGGCTGCTCGAGCTCCTGGGAATTAACTGCAAACACTCACTCTCCAGTCAGACACAGCAGGTTGGGAGAGAACACTTGTGGTTTTCATATCGCAGGTATCGCAGCCCCGCTGTAAAGACAAACTGTGACTTGCAAGTTTAAATCCCAGTGGTTCCAGGTCCCTGTGCCATGCCAAACGGGGAGGGAGCTGGAGCAGCAGGACAGGGGGACACCCCCCTCTAGTGTGCAGCCGCAGCAGGGCAGGACCTTGGGCTGGTGCTGGAGTTGGCAGAGCTCTAGGTTAAGGGTTGGACTCGATGGTCTTAGAGGTCTCTGCCAACTGATTCCATGGTCCCAGCTGGAACTGTTTCTGCAGGGCCACCTACAGGGCACTCGGAGGAGATTTTAACAGGATCCTCTCACACAGCTGTACTGCACGTGGGAGCTGTGCTGCATGGCAAGGGGGCAGCAGGGAGGAAGCAGGGAGGAAGCAGCATCTGGAGGACAGGGAGACCCTCCAAGGCACCTCGAGTACTGTGTTCAGTTCTGGGTTCCTCGCTACAGAAAGGACATGGAGCTGCTAGAGCTCCATGAGAAGAGCAATGGAGCTGGGGAAGGGGCTGGAGCACAAGTGTGAGCAGGAGCAGCTGAGGGAGCTGGGGTGTCCAGCCTGCAGCAAAGGAAGCTGAGGGGAGACCTGCTGGCTCTGCAACTGTCTCTACTCCCAAAGAACGAGTGATAGAACAAGAGGAAATGGCCTCAAGTTGCACCAGAGGAGGTTTAGGTTGGATATTGGGAAAAATTTCTTCATGGAAAGGGTTGTCAGGCCCTGGCCCAGGCTGCCCAGGTGGAGTCACCATCCCTGGAGAGGTTTAAGAGTTGTACAGACATCATCCTTAGGGATAGGGTTTAGTTAAGGACTTGTCAGTCCTTAACTTGTCAGGTTAATCGCTGATGATCCTGAAGGTCTTTTCCAACCAAGGTGATTCAGTGATTCTGTGAAAGGGGGAACACCAGAGCAGCACCCTGGGATGTCCCAGCCCTGGGGCAGGGGAAGGCCAGTGCCCTGCACCACTGCAGGCAGCTCTGCTGCAGGGCTCTGCACACACAGCAGCAGCCTCAGCAGCTTCTGGAACTAGAGGGAAAACATTCCCACCTCAAAGAATGGAACAGACCCAGACATTCCCTACTAAACCAGTGTTTTCTGAGAAGTGTCTCTGTCTGCCCTGGCCACACCTTCGTGCAGGAGGCAGGTCAGGGGAGCACAAACCAGCAAGCTCAGCTGCCCAGATCTCCCCCCCTCAGCTAAGCAGCCACCAGCACAGGTCATGGCCAGTCTGCTCTGGGATTCAGTTCCTTTGTGGAGCTAAAAACCTGGGAAAAAATACATGTATCTGGGTAGGGTGAGTACAGGCTGAAACACAAAAGCTTTTTCTACCAAGTTATAAGTCTCAGAGTCAGCCTGGATTAAAAGAAGGTGGTGTTGCAGCAGGGGCCACGTCAGCAGCAGCCTCAGGGAAACCTCTAGTGACAGAATCCCCACCACAACCCCCAAATAACCCCAGTCTGAGCAGGGCAGGGGAAGGTTCACCAGCAGCTTGGGATGTTATTTTGTCTAAGTTACCATGACAGCTGAAAACAGTTTAAAAACAAAACGTTGCAAGAAAGACCCAATTGTTACACCCAGTTCCTGTTCCCCAGGTTAGGAATGCCCAGAGCTGCTAGAAATGACACAGACCCCAGGAGTTATGGTGCACACAGGCAGTGTGGACCAGGGGACACAAACCTGACTCACCTTCCCAGTTCTCCCACAAGATACAGACAAGTATAAAAAGAGAAATAAAGCACCAAGGTGAGGCAGAGAGGGGACACTGACCTTCCTCATACAGCTCTGGAGAACTTGGGAGGAAGAAAATGATGCAAAGATGGAAAAGTCTCACCAGCATGACTTGGGATTGGGAGTGCTCAAGTCCCAGGAGACAAGGGGTGACTGGGGGCTGGGGGGGGGGTGGAAAAAGCCATCGAAATAGCCATCATATCCAGAAATATGATGGACAAGAAAGTGACAGGGGATGGCTGGCATGGGTGGGGACATTCCAGAGGTTAATCGTGCCTGACAAACCCAATAACCATCCATGAAGATATGCCTGGTTTGGCGGATGCAGGAGTGCAGTGGGGAGCCACCTTGACATTAATTAGCTTCTGGCACAACTGTCTGAAGATCCAGCCAGCCAGAGCCTTCTGATACAGCTCAGAGAGCTGTGGGGGAAGAGGGCAGGACAGGGGCTCAGGGCTGTGTCCCACTGGCAGCCCGTTCACAGCATTCCCCAGCAGGGCTGATGCCTGTATCTACCTCCCATGCACAGAGAACACCCTCACACAGCTTAAATGATACCAGGTGAAACTCAACAAAGGTCAATACAAAGCCCTGCTCCTCAGCAACCTGCCCCAGGCTGGTCCTGCTCCAAGTCAGGCGGTGGATCTGAGACCCTCAGAGGTATTTTCCTACCTGAATTATTGTGTGATTCAAAATAATCCATATGTAGGCAGCTTCCTGCTTACAGGGGATTAGTAAGCTTCTTTTCATTGCACATTGCACCTGCTGAAATCAGTGTAAAGCCACAACTCATTCTTCTCCCATGCCCATCTGCCTGCACATTCTACCTGAGCTTACACTGAGGCAGCAATAAAAGCAGAACAGCAATTGACTATAACAGCAGAGACAGCAACACAAATGAGCCATGAAGAACAGGTTGTTTCTTCAAAGACAGTTTCACTCCACCTACACTCAAACCCTATTGTCATTTGGGAACATGCTAGTCTTGGTTTCCTTCACTGGCTCCAGGGACTCATTCCAAGCTCCTCCTTTGAAGAAAAGTGGGGAGAAAATAAGAGGATTATCCAATTTCTGGCCTTCTTTGCAAGAGCCTAGCTGACAAGATGGCTGTTCACTGCTGCCTGGTCTAGTGACAGTGTGGACATCCTACCTACATGCAGCACATCCTACCTACATGCAGCACATCCTACCACATAACAGAAGAGCCAAACCTCAGAGAGGAAATTGTACCAGTGGAGCTTATCTCCTCTGCCATTTCCTTCTGTTGAGAATCTCCAAAGATCTAGAGGAGCAAACTAATGGCCAAAGAAAGCTATTGTTTGCCTTCAGGAGTCCACACCAACTGCTCAGCCACAATGGAGCTCAACACTCATTTATCAGTTCTTAAGAGTTTAAAAATACAAGATGCCAAGCTTAAAAATATGCATTTTCTTTTTGGAAAAAAAAAATAATTAAAAAGTAATGTACAGACAGATTTTAAGTGGATCTACAAGAAGACACTCAGCTATCTTTAAGAAAAGTAAACCTTTGCAATGTACTGCACACAGAGTTTTCTAACCAGCAAGAGCCACTGAGCTGGGCAAACTGCAGTGTTTCCTGCAAGAGCTTCGGTGGCTTGTTTTTGTTGTTCCCACCCTGCAGGCAGAGGATTGACAGGCAGCACAGGGCCTTCCCACTGCAGAGCACCAAGAGAGCTGTTCTGTCTCCCTCTTGCACCAACAGGCAGCTCAACGTGGGGCTGGTGTGGGCACGGTGGGCAAGGGCAGCTCCATGGAGGGCGTCTCGGTCACCTCGGCCGGGCTTGGCTTGCGAAGCTCCAGCTTCTCTGTGAGTTGGTTATAAAGCTCCTTCACAGCCTCCCCACCCTGCAGAATGAGAAATGAGGAAGGAGGAAAAACAGAAGAGTCAGACTTCCTCCCAGCTCCTACTAGCAAGGACACCAAGTGTGCAACTACCCTGTGTGTTTTAACACAAAGCAACAGAGAAAGAGGAAGTCCCAAGGGAATTCAGCCGCAACCCGGTCCGCTTGGGAAGCACAGCACATTCCCATTAGGCAACGTTGGGAAAGGCAGCTGCTTTCATTTGCAGTTCATTTTGCCTTTCTCATGCTTCTCTTCTTACCTGCTTGGTGGGTTCCAAAGCTTTCTGGAGAGCCTCTAATTTGGCAGGTGCCACTTTGTGATGCAGATGAAGCAGCAGCCTCAGCACATGTCTGTGTACATTCTCCTTTCTGCAAAAAGCAATTTTCATGAGGAGAAACTGGTACAAACAAACTCCATCTCCAGACCAAGAAAGCTACAGTAACAGCACCAGAGTAATTCACACACCCACAGACTGGCAGCTTTGTTATAATTTTCCAGAACACCTGAGAACCGTAGCCTGTGTGCTACGAAGTGCTAACCCTGCCTTAGACTTTCAAGCAATTCATGCAATAATTCAACAGGAGTGGACTAACTGCAGCAACCATGAGGAAAGGAAGGATGTGATTATGATGGGGAGAGATTTTTTTATTATGTTTCCCCCAACATAAGAAGGACACAGAGCTCCTGGAGACAGCCCAGAGGAGGCCACAAAGATGATCCAAGGGCTGGAGCAGGTCTGCTCTGGAGACAGGCTGGGAGAGTTGGGGTGTTCAGCCTGGAGAACAGAAGGCTCCAGGGAGACCTTAGAGCAGCTTCCAGGGCCTGAAGGGGCTCCAGGAAAGCTGGGGAGGGACTTGGGACAAGGGCAGGGAGGGAGAGGACAAGGGGGAATGGATTAAAACTGGGAGACTGAGATTGGACATGAGGAGAAAATTCTGCCCTGTGAGGGTGGTGAGACACTGGCCCAGGTTGCCCAGGGAAGCTGTGGCTGCCCCATCCCTGGCAGTGTTGAAGGGCAGGTTGGATGGGGCTTGGAGCAACCTGGGTTGGTGGGAGGTGTCCAGGCCCATGCAGGGGGGTGGGACTGGATGATCTTTCAGGTCCCTTCCCACCCAAACCATTCTCTGAACCCCTGAGGTGTGAAGCACAGACTGCAGCCAGGGCAGCAGCTGGAGGATGTTTGTCCCTCTGTGTGTGGGGAGGAAGTGGCAGCAGCACGTGCTGCTGTGCCTGAACTGCAGCTCTGGGCAGTGTCCTGGGGGATAGATCTGGCCCTCAGGCCACCAGTTGAACCACAGTGACTTAACAGATGCCAACAGATTTTCTGTGTGCAGCTGATACTGCAGAGAAGTGAACTCTTTGCATTCACAGCTACAGCAAAGCATGAAGGACATTGTCTTCTGCAGCTCCAACTTATGAATCATGATTTACAGTTTAGGTAAGAATTTATAATCAACCCTTAATTTTCCTGTTCAAAATTTTCTCACAAAAGATATTTTTTTCTTAAAAGAAGCACAACATCAGGCTGATACCTCCATGTAAAGAGTTTGCTGAACTATTAACTAAGTTCAAAGCAGTATAAACTCCCTCAGCTACACTGTAAACTCCCTTCCCCTGAGGAAAATCAGCTTTACCTTGAGCAGGCAGTGAGAAAGAAGCCATCAAAGAGGCTGGTGCAGAACTCCTCAAGAGCAAATTCATCCCCCAGCAGAGTAAGGTTTCCAGTAAGGAGATGCAGAAAAATATCACTGAAGGCCAGGTCACTGAATGTCTCAACTATACAACATGAGAAGCAAAGAGACTGAGACTTACAAGGATGTGCCAAAACCTGACCAACTCAGCAGATGTTCC